CATTCGTTGATCACGCGTTCACTATCGCTGCGCAGCTGGATCCGCCGGTACTGGTTCGATACTGTGATCCGGTACGGAAACAGCGGATTGCGGCCGGTCTTTTTGCGGAATTTGATGTCAAACTGCGAGTCTGCAAACAGCACGTCGGTCGGGTAGGGATCGGAGATGTGGCTGCAGAAGGCAATGTATGAATCACGCACAATCACCCATTGCGCGTCCACCGCCGCAAGTCACGCGGGGTGCACCACTGGCCAGTCGTGTGCTCGACTCGCCTGTCCAGTTGCCCTCCTTGCCCTTCCATCCGACATCCTTGACAATCGACACGGCGCTGAGCTCCAGGAACGTGCAGATCTCGTACGCAGGCCGCATGTTCATCGCGCGCAGCACCTTGATCAGATAGTTCTCGAGCGCCTGCTTGCGGTCACCGTGGCCTGATTCATGCGGTTGACGCGCTGGTGGCCCGGCGTAAACGACTTGGCCTTTTCGATGGCATACGAGAACTGCTGCGGGAACGTCGGCAGCTTGTGGACGCGGCCCTGGAACTTGCGCAGCGTCAGCATGGTGTGCAGGGTGATGAAGTCCTGGAGGCGTCTGTAGATCACCCATTTGATGTCACCGTACTGGAGCTCGATGCGGACAACAAAGTGGTGCTGGTCTTCAGAGTCGAAGGTGGTGCCAGAGACCGTGACTGCAAGCGAAATCGCATCGAAGATGACTGGCGGGGCGCGGTGGCCGTGCTCATCGCGCATAAAGTAAAACATGGGCACGAACAGCGCGTCCTGCAGGAACGGGAACATGCCATTCGGGAACGAGCTCTTCATCTTCTGCTGGGGTTTGCGCGTCATCACCGAGGCCTTGAGAACAGCCGCTTGAACTTGTGCCGGAGCTCCTCCATGCGCTTATTTTTGTTTGTCTTCTCTTCGTCCTCCTCGCCCCCCGTCGCGCTAGATGAGGACGATGCCGACGACGGTGCCGACGATGAGCGGTGCAGACCCTCGCTGTCCTGGTGCAGGAATCGTGTGAATTTGCCCATCGACCGCTGCGCTCTTGTTCCTGTGAATTGCCTTCGCCGTGGTGATTGTGAAAGTACCGCAGAAACGTCGGGTGCTCCTCATCGTCATCGGGCGGCGGCTTCATGACCTTTTCTGGCGGCTGCGAGAGCTCCTGTGGATCGGGCGGAATGTCGTAGTGGGTGTTCAGCTGCGTGGTCGAGCCAATGTGGCTGTTGGCGTACTGAATAGCCGAGCCGGTTGACGACGCGCCGGTGTCTGACCGCCCGCGGTTATCGACCCCGCCACGTGGGAATCCGCCTAGAGCCAAGGCATCGCCAGCATCATCAGACCTAATATTAAAGTGTTAGTATGCGTTCGCGAACCTGCGCATATGGACACGTGGGATGCGCATGAATGGTGGGAGGGGGCGAAAGATGGATAGGCTTACTCGTCAACATACTGAACGTCTTCGTGCAGAAGCGTGTCTTCGCCGATGCCCGGCACCCGCGACTCGGTGCCGCCGTCGGCGCTGGGCTGTGCGTGTGTTCGGCCGGGTGCGACTCGGACCGCTGCGACATGTTGCGGAACAGCTTGTCCCAGCCGCTCTGGCTCCGCTGGTGCGCATACGACATCCGGTTTGCTGTCTTCTGTGCTGCTGTCCGATGGTGCCCGCACGCGGCGTCGTGCTGTTGGTGCCGTGCTCGCTTATTGCATGCTGCACCGCTGCTGTTCCGTTGTTGGCGTGGAATTTCTTGCTGCATCTAGCGAATGCCGCGGTGGCTCGTCAGGTATGAACACCATTGGCAACAAGCAAAAATGACGAAAAGAATAAAGCGAAAGTGCCAGGGGCGAAAAAGAAAAAAGAAGAGGGAGGAGACCGGCCTAGCAGTCCCTTGTCCGCCACTATTTGAAGGTGCTGAAGCGCGCTTGGTGTCAGACTGTCGCCGTGGCGCACAAAAGGAGAAAAATACCGATCAGTGGTCGGAAAAAAGTTGGTGCTATGTTCCCTGTAGTCCAAGCGCCCCTTTGGGCAAATGAGAAGCGCCGCTTGGACCGATTCCTTGCCAGCGGTCCACAGAGTGTAACAACGAATCCCTTGGCATGAATCCCCGTTGACTTCCCTAGAGCCAGGGGCTGCCCTTTCCCAATGCAAACAACCGGCTGCGGTAGGAAATGGCCAGAGGATCTACATGCTGCCCAGTAGCAATGCGACCTCGAGGGGCCACGTGAAAATCAGATGATTGGTGCTGCTGGGCCGAGCACTTTTTCTTGTTGACGCTTCTATTTTTTTGTGCGATACTGTGCTTTTGCCCTTTGGCCCCATTTTACCTCTTCGTTTTGCAGCTTTTACACAGTTTTTTTCTACCTGCTACTCTTACTATTTTCTCCTGAACAGGTATGACAACAGCGCGCACAGCCGCTATTGGAAGACACAGGATTGCACAGACTTTGGCGCATTCTAATCAGCTGCATTTCAACTCTGTAGAAGGGAGCCCCCACTTTGTTTTTCTAATTGCAGAGCCACGGGCCAAAACACCGGGGGATTGGGCTTTTATATCTCTGGAGTAGCACCCGCACCAGCAAACCTATATTTCTGTACTATACACACACAACCGCAAGCAGGCGGAGACACACATGGCATCGGTGATCAAGGCGATACTGGACTGGCTCCGGAGCCTATTTTGGAAGGAGGAGATGGAGCTAACGCTGGTCGGGCTGCAGAACTCTGGCAAAACAACACTAGTAAATGTAATCGCATCGGGGCAGTTTACAGAGGACATGATTCCGACGGTGGGCTTCAACATGCGCAAGGTGACCAAGGGCAACGTGACGATGAAGCTGTGGGATATCGGCGGCCAGCCGCGGTTCCGGAGCATGTGGGAGCGATACTGCCGCGGGGTGAACGCGATAGTGTTTGTTATCGATGCGGCAGATCATGCCAAGCTGGACCAGGCGCGGGCGGAGCTGTGGAGTCTGCTGGAGAAGCCGCAGCTGGCAAATATCCCGGTGCTGGTGCTGGGCAACAAGAACGATTTGGAGGAGGCGCTGAGCGTGGAGCAGCTGATTGAGGCAATGAACCTCCAGGCAATCAATACGCGGGAGGTCGCGTGCTACTCGATTTCAGCCAAGAACCAGGTCAACATCGACATCACCCTGAAATGGCTCATTGGCCATTCGTCGTCGGCATCGGCATCGTAATGATGCTTCCCCCGTTTCGCTTCTTTTTTTTCCCTGTTGCATAACCCAGCCCCCTTCTCCCTTGCTCGGTCGCTGCTGGAGGGGAGGAGGAGGTCGCAGAACCCAATCTGCGTCGCTTTGCTTTTTTTCCCCTCCCTTTTCTCTTTCTCAATTCTTCTCTCTGCTTCACAAAGGTGCTAATAAACCAATGGCATTTGCAAACCCCAAATACCCCTCTTGACAGCCGTGCTGGCGACATGCTCGGCTTGAGTGGCAGCGGTAATGGTGCCAATGTAGATCAAGGGGAATTGCGTGCCATGTGGTCTTTGAGCGTGCTATGTGATGATGCCAGCGGGGTTATAAATAGCCAGCGCGCGTGGCGGAGAAACAGCCCATCTCTCCTTCAGCTTTCCCGCATCCTTATTCCAGCACCTCTCCTTTCAAGATGAAGCAGCTCAGCGGATCCTGCCACTGCGGTGCCATCGCGTTCACCTTTTCGACCCATGCGCCAGCGCCCTTTATGCGCTGCTACTGCTCCATCTGCCGCAAGACGTCTGGCGGCGGCGGCTACACAGTCAACATGCTTGGGCAGTACGCAACGCTCAAAGTCACCAAGGGCAAGGACCTAGTGAAAGCTACCGGGCTGTCAAAGACAAGACGGCTCCAAAGGACCAGCAGGTGCTGTGCCAGGACCGGTTCTTTTGCCCCACATGTGCCTCTATTTGTATGCATATGACGAGCAGTGGCCAGAGTGGTTCTACCGTATGCGTCGTGCATCGATACGGAGCTGCCAAAGCCCGAGCGCGCCACCCACATCATGATGGGCAGTGCAGCCAAGTGGGCCGTACCTGAAGACGGCGAGAGGTACGACGAGTATCCGCCATACTCGCTGGAGGAGTGGCATAAAACCCACGGCTACTATGTTGACTAACATGCTGTTGAAAATCAAAATACTAGCCGGAAAGCGAATTTTGAAAATAAACAAAAAGTTTTTCTTGGTGGTCTTTACGCCTGCTGTTTTGGCGGTCTGCTGGACTTTCTCCCTTCTCTTCCCCACTTTTTCAATCTTCCAAATACTCGTTTTTATTTTCTTCTTTCTCATTTCCCATATATATTTTTTCCACCTTCATTGCATTTCCATACTACCACCTAATATTATGAACACTGAGGATCCAGCCGTGCTAGCCAGTCCCCCGCGCCGCACACGCACGCGCACTGCGCTCGGTCTGTTTCCGCCCACAGACGCCCCCCAACGCAACGCGTCGCTCAGTAGTATGGAGCCGGCCACAGAGCCCACGCCGCGGCTCAAGCGCACCTCATCATCGTCGATCCGACGGCAGACGATGGAGGAGACGCTGCGGTCGATCAGCCGGCAGTACGGGCGGCGGCGGCGCCTAAACTCGACGGAAGCAAGCGCACCGACCAGCGCAGCCAGCTCGGTGACGGGCAAGTCGCGTGGGCCAGACACCAAACGACGCGGCGACTCGCGCGCGCTATTCGCAGCAACCGCCCAGCCCTCTGTGCAGGACGGGCTGGTGGCCGACGACATTCAATGTGCCGCGATCCTCGGGCTCGTCGATGTTGGCGCACCAGATGATCCTGAGCGCACACAAGCTGGCGCAGGAGCCGGAGAAGGTGCGGCCGCGGGCGTCGATGCCGGTGATTAACGGGGCACGGCGGGCACCGCAGCGCACGCGGTCGCATGTGTCGCGCGCGGCGGCAGGACGAGCTGTCGGATGCGCTGACGATGAAGAGCGTGGAGATTCGAGGGGGCAGGATTGTCTTGGACGATCCAAGCAGTTCCGAGAGCGAGGGAGAGCCGCCCAAGACCGCGTTCAGGCGGCGTGTGGAGTCGGTGGGGTCGACGGCCAGCGAGTATATTGCCGCGCTGGGCGAGGAAGAGTGGGAGGAAGGGATGCGCAGGCGGTGGTATGCGCGCCGGTGTCTTGGGCTGCGCCAGCCGTTTGATTCTCTGCACCGGCTGGCCAAGGCCGAGCACACTTCGGCCAACCCTTCCCGCTGCTGAGCGATTTGAGAAGGGTACTGGGCGAGGCAAGGTGAATTGGACGGCCGAGCCGTCGATGTATTGCTGTGCTCTGAATCAATTGTGGTCTTGCGCGGCCGGTCCCGAGGACGAGACGCCGCAGGAGCTGAGGGCTGTGGATTTCAGTGACGAGCTGGTGGTGCGTGTGGACGACAATGACGAGACGCTGGTGCATGTGTCTGACGACGAGCAGTCGATGGTGCTTAGATTTCCCTCTGGGGGCGCCTGTGGGTGGAGCAGGCGCTACAGGCACGCACGCGCCTGGAGATACTCCTGCAAGACCTGCGGCTCGACGAGGAGGACTACGTGGAGCGGCCACCGGTTCCACTGCTGGCACGTGGGCGTAGCTCGATTGCGGGCTCGGTGGCCAACGCCGAAAGCGTGACGGCTCTGGGCTCGCGGCTCCGCAAGCGCCAGGCGCAGGGCGGTGTTTTGTGGGTGCCAGACCACGAGACGTCGGTCTGCATGGTCTGCCGCAAGACTGCGTTTTCGATGATGGTCCGGCGCCACCACTGCCGCGCATGCGGACTGGTCATTTGCTACCGCTGCTCGACGGTTGAGGACAAGCGCAGGCTGTGTGTGCGGTGCTCGGGCCGTCAGGGCGCGCTGGTGCCGAAGCCGTCGCCGTCGCTGCATACGCTGGGCAGAAGGGCGGCCGAGTATTTGCCCGCGGGCGACGTGGTCATGCAGATTGCTGCCCAGCGCGCCGCGGCGGTGGTCGATGGCTCGGGCGTCACTAGAGTCAAGCCGGACCGTCATGCGAGGCGGCCACTGTCGACGGTCCTGTTTACAAATGCCGATGTCGACGATGTCGATGATGGCACTGACTGTTACAAGTAGAGCTTTTTTATGACTACAACCTAATAAAACAAACGTCTTTAGGCTCGCTTGGAGAACAGCGCACTGAACGCGGCGAGGATGGTCCATTTGCGGTTCTCGGCCTCCTGGAACACAACCGACCGGTCCGAGTAGAAGATCTCATCAGACACCTCCTCGGGCTTGCGCGGCAGGCAGTGCATGAAATCCAGTCCTTGTTGGGCTTGCCCGCATCGACCAGCTGCTGTGTAACCTGATATCCGGCGAAATCCTGCAGTCTCTGTGCCTTCTCTGTCTCCTGGCCCATGCTGACCCACGTGTCGGTGACAATGATATCGGCGTTCTGGACTGCCTGTACCGGATCAGTAAAGTACGACACATTCGACTGCGCCTTGTCGGCATCTGACTTGGCCATCTGCTGCACCGACTCGGGATCGGGTACTTGGACGGCGTGCACACGTTCATGTTGATGCCGCATTTGGGGAACGCCGACAGCATCTCGTATACGATGTTGTTGGCGTCACCGACCCAGGCGACGTTGAGACCGCGAACCACGTCGAAGACCGTCTTGGCCTCGGGCTTGCGCTTGCCAAACACCTCCCAGATGGTCAGGAGGTCGGCCAGGATCTGCGTCGGATGGTTTCATCACACAGAGCATTGACAATGGGTGCCGACGAGTACTTTGCCAGGCCTGTGATCTCCGAGTGTGCGCCCACGCGGGCAAACAGCCCGTCGACCATGCTCGAGATGACGATTGCCGAGTCCCTCAGCGACTCGTTGACGCCCAGCTGGATGTCGTCCTTGCCGAGGAACATTGCGTGACCGCCGAGGTACGCGATCGAGGTCTCACTAGCTACGCGCGTGCGCGTGACCGCTTCGAGAACAGCAGCCCGATGGTTTGCCCTTCAGGGGCTCGTCAGGGTGGAAGGCCTGTCCGTGGTTCTTGGTCTTGTCCTTGAAGTCGGCAGCTGACTCGACCAGGCCGCGATCTGCTCCGGCGTGTAGTCTGCTAACGAGATCATGTCGCGCGGCAGCGTCGAGAGTGCAGTGTGTGGAGTGCGCGCACCGACGACCCGTTGGTGGCCATAGGAATTACAGACGAGGCAAGCGGGGCATGGGTGTGAATAACGGCTTGAAGGCGGAAAGTTTGGTAAACATCTGGAGTGAAGAGGTCTTTGCAATGGGGAAAGAGTATCAGTGGAGTGGGCTTTATATAAGCGCGTGTTTCTGATTCACTGGGCGTTCTAGGCTCGCTTGTCTTGCTGATAACGGAAGCGCCGACGATTCGGGAAGTTGGGTGAAGATGTGTCTGGGACAGAGATAGAGGGAATCCTAATCTCGGTCCAGTATCGAACCTTTTAAAGGTCCATTTCCGTCGCTGTTGATCTACTTGGTCAGTGAGTCACAACGCACCTGCCACTGTTCCCAGCCAGCATAAATGAGTCTAGCTATGTCATCACATTCCGGCAGGCTAGCCCGGTGGAGCCAGTAGGCAGTGATCGCCCCTCCCCTCGCTTGCATTCTGAGGCCGCCCAGCCAGCCCATCGTCACACTGGTCATCTATTGAGAATCCATATTTGCAAGACATGATGAGATGTATTCGGAAAATGAGCCATTTGCGTCTGTATAATCGCAGCCAACACACAAATAATGTATTTAGATCTCGTCGATCTCAAAGTCAAAGTCGACATCATCGTCCTCGGCCTCGAATGCCTCGGTTTCGTTGATCTTGGCGTTCTCTGGCAGCTCGCCGTACTGCTTCAGAGCACGAGCCTCATCGGCCGAGTACTTCATGATAACATCGGCCTTGTCGTCCTGGAAGTCGCGCAGCGAGATCAGCACAATGTCACCCTGGTTGATCCACACCTTCTTGCGCATCTTTCCGCGGATGTGTGCAAGACGCTTGGTGCCATCGAATCCCAGAGCCTCAACACGCCCGCTTCCGAGCATCTTGACGACCTGCGCGTACTCCTGGCCCTCCTCCCGGAACACCAGCTCGCGCTTCTCGTTCTCTGTGTCGTTCTTTCCGCGACGACGGTTCTTTCCTCCCTACACACTCTGCTTTGTTAGAATCTCTGAATTGGGGCTGCCCAATTTACAGCTCATCTGGCCCAGCTCCCAGGCTCCTCTGCGCTGCCGCCTCCGTACCTTGCCCTTATTTTTCGGCATGCCGGCTTTTTGCTATTTGCTTGCAAAAATGTGTATTTTTCAAGAATGAAAAGTAGAGAAGAGAAATCTGCCTACGCTCTGCAATTCGCAAAAATTTTCGTCTCTGCGGCCACGATGTTGAGGCGAGCCGCGGGGAGCATGAATGGCGAGCCGATCATATCAGGTCACGTGATAAGCCACTAGGTGCAGCTCAGGCCAGAGACCGTTTCAATACGGCTAGCCTGCGGATCGTGGGGCACAGCCCGTGTCTGGGCCTGCTAGAAGCAGCGACACCTGCTGCTTTTGCTGCTGCTGCAGGCTGTCATGCAGACATGTATAGCACAGTGCGAGGAGGCTTGTACATGTGTGTTACGCATATTATATTGGTTTTTTTTGGTGATGTTCTAGAATAATCCGCGAGAAGCACTGGTATTAAGCACCACCGACAATGATGTTGTTGATGGGAATGTGGATGAGCTTGGCAAAGTAGCCGATGAAGCCCATGACAAGGAAGCCCATGAGCACAGCGCGCACGATCTTTGCGTACTCCTTCTGGTCAGGCTTGCTGCAGCGGCGGAGCAGCCACGATGCCTCCTTGACGAACTGCTTGGGCGCCTCCTGGATGACGTTGGCCGTCGGAGTCTGCGTCTCCTGCTTCTGCATTGTTAAAAGAAAAAAGTATAAAATTCAATAGAGATGGGAATGAGAAGAGATGCGGGGCGGAGCGCGTAACGGCTAGCTGAGGGCTATTCGGCGAAAATGAGAGCGACCAGCTCCTGGAGCGACCAATTAAATCACGCGACGTGCGCGGCCCGGGCCATTGATCTGGCAAAGCGTGTGCCCGTGATCACAGCTGATCCTTGCTGGGCCAAGCGGGCACTTTTACCAGCCGAAGCATGCCCAGATAGTGACAACATAAAAGT